AGTCCCCGTCAGAGTCCAGGGGTGAGCGCCCAGAGCGCCCAGAGGCCGCTGGCATCTGGGCAAGGCTGGTGTGTCTGAGGCGCCTCCAGCTTGAGAACCACCTGGCACGCGGCGGCTGGCGAGTTTAGCATCGAGGCCCTTTCAATGCCCTTTGAAGTTGCCTCGAGAACAACGGAGAGTTCCGTGATGAGGATAACGCTCTCGTAGGGCGCTGACCCTGGTTCAGTCTCCAGCACCACAGGGTCCTCGAGCCCTGCCCTGGAGGCCCGGGAATCCCAGTGCTGCAACTGCAGGGCCCAAGCAGCGCTGGACCCGCCCGGAGGCCCTTCCGTGGAACTGCCACACAGCTGGCCCAGAACCACCAGGAGGGAAGGCTCGGAATCCCCCAGCCACGGCAGCTGGAGACGGAAGCTGTGTCTGGGAACTGCAGCGCCTGAGGGACCACTGGCCCAAAATAAGCTCCGGAGGAAGTGTTCATTGTGAGCTCTTCCCCAGTTCGCCTGCAGACCTCTGCTGCTTCCGTCCTTCCACACGGAGAGGCCGGAGAGGCCGGCAGCACACTTCCTCCTGCACACCCAGCCATCGGAGGGAGTGCCCGGCTGACAACTCCTCCCGACGACCCCACAGAGTAACACGGAAAAGGCGGCGAGTTCCGCAAACTGAGGGTTCGAAACGGCCGCAACAGAAATGCCTTCCCTAGCACGGCCCGAGTGTGAGAAGTGGAGGAGGAAGAAGGAGGAAAGGGAGGTGGGAGAGATTCTTGCTACGGGCCCACGGAGGAATGAGATCAAGGACCTCGCCCGGCCCGAAGCCTGGAAGGAGGCTCCCACCCACCCTCCACAGCCTCCCACCACCGCAGCAGGGGCAGTGCCTGCTGCAAAGCCACTTCCGGAGTTTCCTGTTTACCCTTTCTGGGAGTGGGGGGCGTGTCGCCTCCCCCTCCCCCAGAGCCCCACCAGCTCCCACAGGAAGCAGCAGTGATGCCTGCACTCAGCCAGGCAAAGAGGAGGTAGGACGGGTCGAAGGCCGATGGGGCGGATGGACAGGCCAGCATCCCGCAGACAAGGGTGCACGTGTGTGCCCAAGCGTGTCGGCTCGGGGCTGGAGTGACAGCACAGCGGGGAGGGTGTTTGCCTTGCACGCAGCCGACCCAGGTTCGATTCCCTGCATCCCGTAGGGTCCCCTGAGCACCGCCAGGGGCAATTCCTGAGTTCAGAGCCAGGAGGAACCCCTGTGCATCGCTGGGTGTGACCCCCCCCCCAAAAAAAGCACCAAGTGTGTTGGCTCCATCAACAAGGTGTCCTTCAGTCTCATCTTACCAATACAATCTGGGTGTTCAGGAAAGTCAGAGGCCAGCCGCAGGCGACAAGGGGAAGAATCAACAGCTCCTAACCACCATCAAACTGGGCACCATGAGACCCAGCCCCCGGGGGACACCGCCACACCCAGTCCCTGGCCCCACTCAGCTCAGCACCTTTGGGCTGGAACACCAAGGCACCGCCAGGCAGGCCCAATTGGGCCCCAGAGGACAGTCACACCTGCCCCGGCAGCTGGCGCAGTCTTAGCAGCCTCTCCGTGCTCTCTCAGAGGCAGAATGCCCACGTGAAACCACACCCCACACAGGACACGTGTCACCTCCCACTGTCCAGCACCGCAGGAGCAAGGGGACAGGAAACGAGGACTTCTTGAAGCCTGAGCCACTGCAGGGAGCAGAGGGCCTGTCCTCGTGCCAACAGCCATAAACACGGGCTCCAAAGGCTCAGACGCTGCCCAGGGTCCTGGCGCCCGGCCGACTGAGCCAATCCTCCTCGCGCCTTGACGGAGAAGCAGGCGAGTGAGGCCACAAGGCTGTGCCCAGGGCCGCAGAGCCCATGGGGAGGCAAGGCCCGCACCCCCTACCGGTCCCGGCAAAGCTCTGCCCTTCCCCAGCACTCCTGAGGCCAGGCTGAGCTGGCGGTGCCGGTCCGACCCGCAAGCGCCCAGACCCGTTCCGCCTGCCTCTCCCTTCACGCCCAGCCCAAGCCCCCTCCGAGATGCCAGCCTGCCCTCCGCTGAGCCTCAGGCTCTGACAAGGGCTCCCGGCAGGCCCCCTGACAGTCTCTTCCCTTCACTTGCAAAATGTCAACACAGAACCTCTGGGTTCAAAAACAACCACGTAAACAAGAAGCGGCCCCGGGCACACCCTGCTCGCGACCACAGGCGCTAGCCAAGGAGCCAAGCACCTCAGCCACGCCACAGAACCCAAAATAAAGCAACAGGAAGCGACACGCCGAATTCCTCAGGCCTCATCACATGTCACCAGCTGCTGGCGTGCAGCCCTTGGGTGCTGGCGCTTCAAGCTGGTACAGCAGGCACGAGGGACCCCGAGGACCCCGCAGGTCACTGGGCCCTCGGAAGCCGGCCTGGCGCGAGTAGTCCACACACCTCCCAAGGGCACTGCTGTGTGACAACATCTCATCTGAGGCGAAAAGCACACTTCACTGCCCACGAGATAACAGAACTGGAAAGAGGCAGCTCTCCCAAGCCAAGCCCTGGACGTCCAGAAACGGCCTCCCAGCCCATCGGATTCACTGCCTTTCACTTCCTCTCCAGAGCCTGGGCATAGTGAGAAGGCCCCGAGATGGCCAGGCCCGGGGGCCAAAGGCATGCAGCCCGTTTGCTCATGGGGGGGGGGGGGCAGTGCCTGGTCTCCATGTCAACAGGGAGGGCCTATGGGTGCTGCACACACAGACACAATCACAGACAAGCACAGACATGCCACACGGCAACATCCACGCAGATGTGTGCACACCTGCAACTACACATACTCCTAGACATATGCACACACACCCAACCGCACAAACACATTCGTAGGCGTGCACACGCATGCACACCTACAACCACGCACACATGTTCACAGACGTGCACACCCATGCAAACATGTGTACATACACATATTCAAAAACGTGCGCACCGTGCTGGGGGAGAAGGCGCTGGGCTAGAGAATGGAACCCTGAGTCAGTGACGGTTGGCGGGCTCGGGGTGAGGGGGCGCGTGCTGAGAGTAGACGAGGGACCAAGCGTGATGCCCTCTCAGCATCTGCATGGCAAACCACAACACCAAAGGGGAGAGAGAGCGGGAATGTGCCTGCCACGGAGGCGGGGGATGGCAGGAGAGCACTGGACATTGGGGGTGGAGGACGGGCACTGGCGGAGGGATGGGTGCTCGATCGTTGTGTGACTGAAACGTAATCACGAAAGTTTCGAAGTCTGTAACTGTATTTCATGGTGATTCAATAAAAAGATTTTTAAAAAACCGTGTGCACAGAATACAACCACGTGCATATGTGCACACGTTTGTGCACACACAGCCACGCACACGATTCACACATGTGTGCACAACCATGCACACAGATATTTGCACACAATACAACTATGAACACTCACACGTGTATACATACATTCACACATGTGTGCACATGCAACCACATACACATATTCACAAAGATGTGCATATGTACAACCGTGCACACATATTTATATACATGTGGTCACACATAAAACTGTGCACACACTCAGACAGGTGGTCACAAATATGTACACCCAGAGACTGTGCTTACATATGCTATCATGCATGCACACACGTAACCATGTGCACACTCACGCATACAACCAAGCGTACACACTCACACTTACAACCATGCACACACACTCACAGATTGTACTCACACATGCAACCATATGCACACACTCGCACAGGTGTATGCTCACACAACCATATGCACACTCACACAAACGTGTGCTCAGACATACAACCATGCACACTCACAAAGACTGTGCGTGCACATGCAACTACGCACACACGCTTACACAGATGTGGGCTCACATACAACCATGCACGTGCACACGTACAATCATGCACACGCGCTCACACATAAAACCATGCACACACGCAGACTGTGCTTACACAGGCAACGATGTGCAAGACACAGACGTGTACTCACTTATGCAACCACGCGCACACTCACACAGATGTATGCTCACACATACAGCCATGCACACACACGCACACAGACTATGTTCATGCACACGATCATGTGCACACACTCACAGACTGTGATCCACACATGAAACCATGTGCACACTCACAGAGGCGTGTGCTCACACGTACAACCACTCTCACTCATACGCTCACACCACACAGATGTTTGCACACACAGTCCGCAGTCACGAAGACTGTGCTCACGCAGAGCACACACACTCACACAAATGCAAATTCACGCTCACACAACAAGTGCATTCAGCACTCACCTCCAGTGACATGTGTGCACACACACACAAAGACACGGGACGTGTGCGAACAAAGACACATTCGCGGACACAGATGTGCGCAGACAGTCGAGCCTAAGTGCCTGGGAGTTGGGGAAGAGCCTGCAAGTTCCAAGGGAAGGAAGTTGTGGTGGCAGAAGCTGGTGAGACGTGGAACCCAAGGGCGATGGACAGGGCGCCTGGAAGGCACACGCCAGGGCCTGTGGGGGCTACACAGCCCAGCACAGCTCTGGGCACTGGAGGCCCCTCGGGGTCAGCAGGGGCGGCAGTGGGGGCGGGGCCTGGGCGGGGAGGCACAGAGCACTGCAGAGGAGAGGAGAGGGAGCTGGGGTGAAGGGGGGGAGGGGGAGAGGGAGGGGGCTGGGGAGGGGGCTGGGAAGGAGGGAGAGGGGGCTGGGGAAGGGTTAGCCAGGGTCTGGGGAGGGGGTGGAGGGGGGCTGAGGAGGGGGCCCGGGAGGGGGACTGGGGAGGGGGCCGGGGAGGAGGGAGAGGGGGCTGGGGAAGGGTCGGCCAGGGTCCGGGGAGGGAGCGGAGAGGGGGCTGGGGGGGAGGGAGGGGGCTGGAAGGGGGAGAGAGACGGGGTCGGGGAGGGGGTCTGGGGCGGGCCGGGGAGGGGGACTGGGGAGGGGGCCGGGGAGGGCGGCGGGCGGGGCGGGGGCGGGGGCGAGCCCCCCACGGGCCGGGGGCGCTCACCGATCTTGATCTTCACGCTCTGGAAGACGCGCAGCCCCTCCTCCTCCACCGCCATGCTGCCCACCGCCCGCGCCCGGCTCCGGCCCAGCCCCGCGCCCGGCTCCGGCCCAGCCCCGCGGCCGCGTCTGCCCGAGCCCCGCGGGCGCCGCTGCCGCCCGGCCGGCCCCGCCCACAGCCCGCCCATTGGCCGGAGCGCGAGGCGGGAGACGGGAGGCCCCGCCCACGGCCCGGCCCGGGCTCCCATTGGCGCAGCCCGCGGAGGGGGCGGTCCGGCCCCGCCCACGGCCTGGCCCGCGGTGCCCATTGGCGGGCCGCGGCGGGGATGAGGATGGGGATGCCCGGCCCGGCCCGGCCCAGCGCCCTGCGGCCGCGGGCCCGGGTGGGTCGGACGGACCCGAGGGCGTGTGGTGGCCGCGCGGGGGCGTCTGGCTGGGGGGCGCGGGCGCGGGTGAGCTGAGGCGGCGCGCGGAGTGCAGCGCGCGGTGGGGGCAGGGGTGGACCAAGGGGAGGGGTGCCGGGAGGGCGAGTGGGGGCGGCGGGACCCAGGAACTGGCTGCGCGGGGGGTGGCGCCCCAGGCCGGCGCCAGGAACCCGAGACTTGCACCCAGCCCGTTCTTTGGTGCTGGCATCGCCGACCTCTGTTGGGTCTTCACCAGCCAACCCTTAACTCAGCAACGACATGGGGTGGGGGTGGTCACGGAGGCGGCTGCTGGGTCGGGGGAGTCTCGGATCCCGGGCTCATGTCTGCAAAGCCAGTGCTGGACTGCTCGGGCCCAGCCCCAGCAGCAGCGTTTTGTTTTCATTTATTTATTTAGTTTGCTTTTGGGGTCACACCTGGCAATGCACAGTTAGTCCTGGCTCTGCACTCAGGAATTACCATATGGGATGCCGGGAATCAAGCCTGGGTTGGCTGCATGCAAGGCGAACGCCCTTCCCGCCAGGCGATTGCTCCAGCCCCCAGCAGCGGTGTTTTAAAGAAAGCAGCACGATTCTGAGCAGACACAAAGGTCTCGGAGGAAACCGTCTCCAGGCCCTACTCAGCCTTTAGCTGAGCAGCAGCAGAGGAGTCGCAAGGACGAGCCGGGGAAGGAGCAGAGTTTGGAGGGAAAGCCCAGAAGGTGCGGCCCAGGCCTGGCTCAGTGCCATCTGCCCTCCTGCCCTCTGCCCTCGGTGGTCTGGGGTCACATAGTCCACCCACGCCTTTCTCACTCCTTCACTGTCTGCAGTCCTCTCCTTGACCCTAGCGGGAGCTGACGTCAGACCTGACAGGGTGGCTTGGTCCTGGTCCAGGATCTTGAGATGACACAGTGCTCCCCGCCGGGGAAGAAGAAACCCACGGTCCACAGCACAGGACACAGACCCCAGCACCCACAAAGAGCTTCACCCCGTAGTCAGGCCATATTGCCCACCGTAAGCACATGTCCAGAGTTGCCTGGACCACTGGACTGTCCTCAACTAGGCTGCCATGTTGAAATAGTAGAATCATACCAGAAGAGCAAGAAGTTCACAGGATGTTTTGGGTAAGATATGTGTGGTCTAAAATGCTTATGCTGATAGTCAAATAATAAGAGCTTGTTAATTGGGCTATGTCCTTTTGAATCTGCTTAGCCTTTAAATCATCAATGTAGAAATGGTTGATCACCAGATACAAATGCCTAGATAATATAAGGTAAAGGTAAAGGCCCTCCCGTTGATCGTCGATTTGCTCGAGCGGGCCCAGTAACGTCTCCATTGGAGACTTTGTTGTTACTGTGTCTGGCATATCGAATACTCTCCGTAGCTTGCCGGGCTCTCCGAGAGGGGCGGAGGAATCGAACTCGGGTCGGCCATGTTGGCTGCGTGCAAGGCAGACGCCCTACCCGCTGTGCTATCGCTCCAGCCAGACACAGTAACAACAAAGTCTCCAATGGAGACGTTACTGGGCCCTAGATAATATAATCATCTTTAATAAAATAGGATGTGGCAAATAAAATAAGTGTTTATGCTGAGTCGCGGGAACCGTCCGGGAAGGACTGTTGTCCAGAACTCGTCAGCAGAGACCCCCCCCCCAACCCTGCAGCAGGCAGAGCATAAGCCCAGGCTCACCCTCACACGTTTTCACAGACAAGCCATGTCTTCCCAGATCCCCAGATCTGCGTTCAGCACAAAGGAATTAGTTATTAGTTTCCAAATTAGAGCCTGTGGTGATACAAGACAGGAAACTGCTGAGGGTGAGAAGCAGCGGGGATACCCTTGGCAACATCTAGAGGCCCTTTGTTTATACTCAGGGCTACATTTCGTCTGACGGACCCCACTTCCACAAATATTTCTGCAGTCTCAATCTACCAAGGGGGTATTTGTGTGCTAATGTCTAGGCACAATTAGAGCATTTCCATCATTTTACAGACATCTTTATTCATGTCTCTTGATCTCAACGAATTTAACATGACATGAAAGATTGCCTACTTAAAATAATGATTTTTATAGGATACAAAAATGTAATGAAGGAAGAATTACTGTATCGAGCTCTGTGGTCAGAAGAAGGTGTGCGCTGTAGCACTCCTGACAGCCGGCCAGAGGTTGGCAAGGTGGTTACTGACACCTTGTGGTCAGGAGGAAACCTCAGGGCACCCAGAGCCCCGGAGTAGATGCCTGCCAGGACCCACCTCCCGCCTTCTCCCGGGCTCCTCCAGCAGCTGCAGACGCTGCTCCCAGGCCAGGCTCACTCCTGCTGTCTGACCACAGCAGAAGCACCAGGGTCCGATCCAGACTGCTACCCCCATGTACCCTCAGTCTGCGTGTGACCTGACACTCCCAGCTTCCAGGGCACTAGATGTGCCAGGCTCCAAAACCTTAGATTTGAACTAGCCTCGTTTATTTCATATCTGAAATTCACTTTCAGGCCCTCCGTGAGATCAGAGGTGGCTTGCAAAGGCTCGAGGTGTGTGTGTGTGTGTGTGTGTGTGTGTGTGTGTGTGTGTGTGTGTACACTGCAAGTCCCCACACAGTAGCCCTTAGTGCACACACTGCCTGTTCCTCCCCACAACCCCACACAGGATCTGGGGGCTTGGCAGGACAAGGCTCAGGGCTGGGAGTGACCGCCTGGGCAGCAGCCCCTTCACAGCTTGGCACGGCACTGGGAGCCTGCATGGTGGTGGGCCTTGGGCTGGCAGCAGAACTATCTCTCCACCCAGCAGTCCCTCCTGCAATGTCCACTGAGAGTGCCCAGGGTCCCAGGACCATAGGACCACGACGATCCCTCTGAGGGTGCCCCAGGGCAGAGGCGCCGTGCGAGGGGAGACAACCAGGAGCAAGGCGGAAGCCAGCAGACGTCCTCACGGTCCAGCTGTGGCGCTCTGCTGCCTCCACCCAGCTGGCCGGATTCCCGAGCTTACAGCTGGGTAGAGGGGACACTGCAGACGACACAAACACCCACGGTCCCAAGGCCACACTCCGGAGCTTAGGCAGCTGTGCCCGTTCAGTTCCGACTCACACGGGAGAGGGGCCGTAGGTGTGCGTTTGTGGCCTCCTGTGCCCCAGGCCTTGGGCAGAGGGTTCCTGGGCAGGGCTGCAACGTGCCCGTGTGCAGTGCAGGAGCAGGACCGGGCCGAGGCCCCAGCGGGCCCTGTGGAGTTTCTGCCCGTGTTCATTTGGCGCTGGGCACTTGAGGCAGGCAGGGGCCACATGCAGTCTTGCTGCCTCGGAGCTGGCCCAGGCAGGATGAACTTGGCCTTTCCTCAGGCCGGGTGCTGCGGATCCCACTCAGTGGCAGTCTCTGCCGGGGCTCCCCTGACGGGACCCAGAGACATCCACGGCAGCGTGGCCCGAGTTCTTGTCCAGAAGGACGGCTGCTCCTGGGTGGGGGGGGGGGGGTCCTGGGGGAGAAAAGTCTGTGACTTGAGTTTCACTTTTTTTTTTTTTTTTTTGCTTTTTGGGTCACAACCGGCAATGCACAGGGGTTACTCCTGGCTCTGCACTCAGGAGTTACTCCTGGTGGTGCACAGGGGACCCTATGGGATGCTGGGAATCGAACCCGGGTCGGCCAAGTGCAAGGCAAATGCCCTACCCACTGTGCTATCACTCCAGCCTCGATATGTGTATTTTCTTACTTCCATATCTAATACTGGGGTGTGTGTAGATCTCTCCACCTATGAAGAAGACTGTGTTCTCTCTCTATTTTTTGGGGGATCACACCCGGCGATGCACAGGAGTTACTCCGGCGGTGCTCAGGGGACCATATGGGATGCTGGGAATCGAACCCGGGTCGGCCGCGTGCAAGGCAAACGCCCTCCCCGCTGTGCTGTCGCTCCAGCCCCTCACTTTGTTTTTATATTGTGTTTTGTTCTATGAACCAAATGGCCACATTGAAGTGCCGGCAGAGCAGGACGGGCTGGGCCTCATGACTTCAGGCTTGCAAGGAAGACCCAGATCTTTCACAGGTTTTGCTCTAGCACTGGGACCCCACACCTGGTTCTCTGCACCCGGAAAGCCAGACTGTCCCCAGGCACCCCCACTCCCACCTTCTTGGGCGCCAGACACATCGGTTGCAGCTGTGATGGGAACTTCCTGGCACAGAGCAGAGAAGGCTCATTCCCGGTACACCGGGACGGCTGCCTTCCTGGGGACCCTCTGAGCAGCGGCCTCGGGGCAGAGCTGGCACTGGAGCTCGCAGGGCTGCTCTCACACGCACGCTAGAGGTACGCCACAGCTGGAAAGTGACCGCCAGGTCTCACAAGGCCGTTTCTCAGGAAGCACAGACTGAGCCAGCTGCACGCGGTCGCAGAGACTGGCCAGGACTGTCCCCTTCTCTCAAGCTGCCACCTTGAGAAAGCCTCAGTGGCTTTCCCAGTTTCTCTGCCAGTCGGCCGGGACTGGCCAACTGGCACAGTGCCCGCAAATCAGAGCAAACCGAGTAGGAGTCCTGCTCTGAATCACATTTTCATCTTCTTTTCCCTGCAAAACTGTGCTTCAAGCTAAGCAACTGACGGGAAGGAGAGCACTTTCCCTGCTCACACCAACCTCCAGCACAGCTCACAGCTCACGGCTCACAGCTTACAACTCACAGCTAACACCCTCCAGCA